TGAGGAAGAAATTAATGTTTGATGCTTTAAGCCACTGACATTTGGGGGTCGTTTGTCACTGCATCCTAATGGGGATGGTCTACATCCCCACTGAGACAGCGAGCATTGTCAATGAATGACAAAACAGGTGGACTGGTTGGCTAAAATGTGCTGCAAATAAAAAATCTAACTTCCTTAGCACACTGTTCAAGGCACTTCTGGCCCTTCACCAAAAAAATCTACAACTACCTCTCCAGTGTCATTTCCTGACCTTCCCTTCCTGCCTTCTAGGCATACTGGGTATCTGAAATGCCTTGAACATATTACTACTACTACTACTACTACTACTACTACTACTACTACTACTACTACTACCACATACTGAGCACCTACTGTGTGCCACGCCATTCTCAGTACTTCACAGTTATCCTCACATCCCAAGCACCACAGCTTTGCTCCCCATTGTCTCTACCTAGCACGCCCATCTCCTCTGTCTTGGTCCTAAAACATCCTACTTATCTTTTATGACACAGTTCAAATGTCATCTCCATTTGGAAATGTCTCTGACCGTCTCCCTGATAGAATTAATTCCTCCACTATTAAGCTCCCAGACCATTTTGTAAGCAAAATTTATAACATTATGTGTCTACTTCTATGGTTCCCCCTACCCTGTCAGCACATAGTCCACTATGCACCCACTCTGGCACTTATATAGGGTAGGAGTTCAGGCCAGGGAGGAAAGGGTGAGAAATGGTGGCATTTGGAGTGGGCAAGGAGCAAGCAGGCACAAGTCTGGTTAAAGAAATCAACTGTGATTACATTTCAGACCAAAAGGTTGAAGTGAATCTTTCAAAATTATACAGAATCCTCTTAACATAGTTCACTAATGGATGGGTCTGGATTTAGCTGGGGTAGACCCTGATCTCTGTATCAAATCTAAACCAACCACAAACAAACCCTGACATGACCTAGTTAGGTTTTGACACTGGGGCTAGCACGACAGTCTGTTTCCAAGGTGTCATGGTGCTCCTGTGACAGATGTGTCTGAAAATGCCCCAAGGGCTCACCCCAGATTATCTGGTTAAAGAGCCATAGGGGTGGGGTCCCCTTTTCTGTCCCAGCTGGAGAAGCTGTGCCCGAGCTCCTATTCCCAGGGGACAAATGGTGTCCTCCCGTCAGGATAACGTTTCTTGGGTCTTAAGGTCCCCAGGTGCTGAGGGTTTGCATTCCCAGATAATTCCTGTAAACAGCTGGCACCTAAATCCAGACTGCCTGGTGCCAAGGTAGTTTCTCTATCTCCTCACTCATAAAATCACTCTTACACTTGACCCATGAAAAGGGAGATAAACCGGGTGGAGGTGGGTTCCTCCCCGGAACACAAATCCATCCAGAAGAGTGGGTAGCCTCAGCGGCCTTTCCATCTTCTCTTATCTGGCGGACCCTGGCTTTGGCAGTTTCTTCTCTTCCTCACTAAAGCCTCCTCAGGGCCTCGCTCAAATTGTGCAATGTTGTGCACTGCGAACCTTGGTAGATGACAGGTGGCAACTTAGAATGCACCCATCTCACAAAACAATTCCCCTCCAAGAACTGAATGAGGGTTAACAACCAGCTAGCATTTTATACTTTGCAAAGGGTGTTCAGATGCATCAATGCTCAATCCATTGTCTCTTCACAGTAGCCTTGTGAGATAGAGATAGCTTTATTATCCCTATTTTATAGGTGAGGAGACTGAGGCTGAAAGAGCACGAAGCATTGCCCCAGGTCACACAACAAATAAGCTGTGGCCTCAGGACAGGACCATGGTCTTCTGAAGTCACAACACACTGGCTCTTGGCAACACAAGGAATGTGACCACCAATGCCATCTACTCTTTCACTCTTCCCATAAAGCATTTCATGGTATATTGACAATTCGGCTTTATATTGAATTACATTTACACGGTTGAGCATGCACCAGCCAATTGTGGCCCGTCTTGCAGAGAAACAGGAAGTATAATTTTCTCCCCACAAAGACTGAACAAATAAAAACACTTTCAGAAAAATCTGACGAGACGTCAATAGGGAGGTTTCTGTGTGTCACCTGATCTAGTTGATGAAAATTCAGTGACCCCAGGGGCGCACACTCATTTCCAAAGACAAAGAAAGCAGGAGAGTATAGGATACCGCAGGTGGAGCCCAGGTGGAGCCCAGGTGCACTACAGAGCGGGACTTGGGTGAGGACAGTGAGGTGCAAAATTTAAGGGGCACTCGCTCTCAGGAGCTGAGCCTGCACAACGCTGAGAGTGAGCATCTCCTTATATCTTGTGCCCTTGGCCCTCCCTTGCCTCACCCACGTCCCAGCCTGGGCATACCAAGTCCCCTTATCCCAGAGCTAATGGTCTCCAGCTGCTGAGGAGCAATAATGAACACCGGATCTCCAGAATGAGATTAGAAACAAACTAGAAATATCAATAGAACGCAGTTACATCCAATTAGCCTTGCCCGGAAAAGACAGGCTACATCATGTACAGGGCCCACTACACAATGAAAATGTGTGCCCTTTTTTCAAAAATTATGAAGAATTTCAATAAGGTGACAGCACAGCATTAAATTCAGCGAGGCCTTCCAAGCCTGGGGCTCTGTGACCCTGCACAGGCCTCACGCCCATGAAGCCAGCTGGCCCTGTGCCCAGACATGTTCTGATGGCTCTGCTGTCCTCCATCAGAAGTGTGGCCCTCCTGGTGAGGCATCTCTGCCAGCCAGATTCAGGTCTAGAAGCACATACCTGGTTGCCTAGGTGATGACCTCTAGGAAGTCCACAGAGATGTCTCATCAGTGGTCGCTGAAATAGTACGGAGATGGAATTCAGAAGGCACAAGTCCTGCATTTGGTCCTTATAATTAGGCTCTAAGACCCTGGGCCAATCACAGAATGCTTTACACCCCCGTTTCCTTGTTTGGGTTGGCTTATCTCTCTGAACCTTCAGGCTATGGACTCCCAGAGGTTCATGGTTATTCTGCGTGGTTGGAGATTTATCTATATGGGCAAACCTCAGAGATATTGTGGGTTCCACTCCAAACCACAGAAATAAAGCAAGTCACACGAATTTTTTGGCTTCCTAATGCATATAAAAATTATGTTGACATTCTACTGTAGTCTATTAAGTGTACAACAGCATTGTGTCTAAAAAACAATGTATATACCTTAATTAAAAGTACTCTATTGTTAAAAAAGGCTAACCATTATGTGAGTCTTCTCTTTTTGCTGATGGAGGGTCTTACCTTCAATTTGAAAAAAACAAAAAACAAACAAACAAAAAAACAAACAAAAAAATAACACAGTATCTGCGAAGTACAATAAAGTGAAATGCAATAAAATAAGGTATGACTGTATTTGACATGAATACAGACCTGTTAATTATTTGTCTCTCCCTCATATATATGACCATTTTAAAAGGAGGCAAATATGTTGTCATTTAAAAAAATACAAATTCATTGAAAAACATTACTGAATTTACAGTACCTTTTTATCAACTGTTGTTTTTTCCATCAGTGGATTAAGAAAAAAACAAAACAGCACGAAGATGTACTTCCGGAGGCTTCTGTACCACTGTCCTTATCTCAACCATGGACTGTAACAAGTGATTTTCAAACAGATGCCTGTTTGTGTACCATCCCTTAACGAGCTGTTAATCTGGGGTCCCCAATACAATTGCAATCTAGACCCTTACCTGCCTTGATTTCATGTATGTATTGAGTAACTATTTACTGAGCACCTATTGTGTTCTAGGCCCTGTTCTCAGAGTTGCGGACACAGGAAACGTAATAGACAAAAATCTCTGCCCTTACGGAGATTATGTCCTTACGTAGGGAGAGGCAGACATTAAACAAATAAGCAAATATATACCATACAGGCTATGTGCTATGGAGGAAAATCAAAGAGGAACATGGCTGAGCCACGAGTCTCTGCCCAGGTATCTAAAGCTTCAGTGAGTTTTTTTCCCTTCCATACCTCCCACCATCATTTTGCTGATTCTCCCTCTATTAGACTCCACCCCCCCCATTCAGCAACTTGTACTATTTATCATCTGCCCCTACTTGTATGGATAAAGAAAAAGTAGAGGGCCTTTTGCTTCTCTCTCTCTCTCTCTCTCTCTCTCTCTCTCTCTCTCTCTCTCGCTCTCGCTCTCGCTCTCGCTCTCTCTGGATCTCTCTCTTGTTTATGGTGGTACACAAAGCAATAAAGCAAGGCACATGCTATTCATTTGATGACTACATCTACATTAGTTTTCTGTGACTGCTGTAACAAATGACTACACAGTTGGTGGCTTAAAACAATGCAAATTTATTCTTACAGTTCTGGAGGCCAGAAGTCTGAAATTAGTTCCCCCGAGCAGAAATCAAGGACTGCGCTCCCTTGGGAGCCTCGAGGATAGAATCTGTCCCTTGTCTTCTCCAGCTTCTGGTGCTGACATTCCTCAGAGTGAGGCCACATCACTCCAGTTTCTCTAAACCTCTCTGTGTTCCATCTCCACATTGATTTCTCTGTGCTTGTCTGTGAAATTTCCTTCTGCCTCTCTCTGATAAAGACACGTCTGGATAATTCAGGATAATCTC